ACCCGTCAATCAAAAGTCTCGAACGAAGGGATTTATCAAAGGTGCCCAATTGATGGTATGAAAATAACAATAAATTGAATGGGAGATGACAGTGAGCTAGAAAAACTTGGAAGCTAAGTTTGAACTTGATGGGGGCTTGCAAGTTGTCAAAATGTGAGCAATGACTAGAAGTTGTAGATTATATTTAATTAATTATAAATTTTTGGTATTTCTCACTATTTTGGTATATAACTATCTCAATCTCATAATCATAAATATCAAATAACACCCCAAATTCAATATCAAGTCCTAAATAAGAACTCGAAAAATTTCCAAATAGTGATAAATTCGGTAAGATATACAACTTCTCTGTTAATTTGGGGGGTGGATCTATTACCCATGCTGAGCTAGCTGGGATTTTACATGGCCTACATCTTGCTTGGGAGGAGGGTTGACGCAAGGTGAAGGTGCAGTCTGACTCGAGCATTGCGGTTCAGCTCATTCAGCAAGCATCCCCAGGGAACCCGCACTTTATCCAGGTGGCCGCGATCCGGGGTCTTCTGACACGGGAGTGGGAGGTTCAAATTGAGCACGTGTTTCGTGAAGGTAATGTGGTGGCGGACTTTCTTGCTTCGGCTGGGCATAACCTACCTATAGGGGTCCATGTGATTGGGAACCCGTGCTCTACGCTGAGATACTGGTTGTATTTTGATACTCTGGGGATTCAGTCTCCCCGTTCAGTTAATACATAAGGGTTAGAGCGCCCCCCTGCGCTCTGTTTCTCACCAAAAACAATCGGGTACCAAATTTCTAGCCCTTTTACCCTTTTAGCAAGGCACATTTATTGTATCCCCTGTGAAAAGATACTTTTGTATTTCGAGCTTATATATGAGAATGAATCTCTGATGAGAAAAAAGCAACCATCAATAAACGAACAACTAGAGTGTGTGCAGTATCGAATAAAAGGAGAAGATTCGGCATGTATTTCAGTTTGCTGCAAGAAAATCCCCACATTAGAATATTTGGTTACCCTATATGTCAAAATATTGAAACAACGAGTGATGAATCAATATCCTTCACCCTACTTCGCGCAAATAACAAATGAGTGACGGATTCAATCCTGGCATCAACCTCCTACATAGTCGAGGAAGAGATGGATCATTCACATGGTCGAAAATGGCATTGCATAGTTAACCCACTGTTGTTGTAATGGCTACATAAACGAGGAAACTATTATAACGAGAGAAAAAAATAAACATTTTTGTTCTGAAAGGGTTTCTGAACTGAACCTTTGGCGGGTCCCACTTGGGTTTTGTTGATCAGATGGTTCAGAGAGAGTGGGTAGAGACCTCCCCAGCCGTCCGATCATTGCAGCTTCTCCTGCAACATCCCCTTCTCCAAGAAGAGACGACAACAGTTGGGTTTGGGCAACGAATAAGGGCTTGGTCTAGTGGTAATAACACTAGCTTTGAACCTGGAGGTCCCAGGTTCAAATCCCTTCAGTAGTACCTACCTAATCACAAAAAAGTAAACCTATATCACCCTTATCTAAAAAAAACAGTTGGGTTTGGGCAATTGGGTGGATGGGTGAATTTCATTTTCACCCGGACTATCCCTTTCGAGTTTCAACCCACCACCATCCTTTTCTGTGCGCCTCGGTAAAAAGAGGAATTTACCATCACAGTAGTCTTGACATTGTTGTTTATGGAAATGGGAAGTAGAACCATGGCTTTGATTTTAGGTTCAGATATAAATGCATTGTTAGACGGCAGAGAAAATGGGGAAAAGGAGCTTCTTTGCCTAAGTTCTAACATAGACATAGCCCTAGAGAGTTCACCTAAACCAAATTCATACATATTTATGAAATCACAATATCAAGAATAGATGCTCTCACGTAAGGGTCGATGTCCTCAAACGTCCGAGAAAAGAAAATGAAAATAAGAATAACAGTCATAGTCGCTAATCACCAAATAGATAATACCAATGTGCCCCTTTCTCTACACATTAACGGAACACTAATGGAAACGTAACCCACGCTTCAAGGGTTTACTTGTAACTCACAAGCGGGAGAACGACGTTGGTATCGATAAACCTTTGCTTTATTATTCGATAATCCGAACTAATGCCAAACTTACATATATATATATATATACACAATCCGCAAACCCTACTAATGACCTAGCTATATCCGACCCAACCCTTACCCTTCTCCTAGCCGAACTCGGCAACCTCACACCCCGACCCTATTGTACTAATGACCCACTAATACCCCTAAGCCCATGCATAATAGTAACCCTCTAAACCCAATATCCCATACCCTACGCATACCCATCAAATACACGCACGTAATAGTGATTCGATCCGAGATCCGATACATTTCTAATTAAGGGATACAATTTCCCTTTTCATAAATATCACGACCAGTCGATAATGCAATCACTGATAGTTTAAACTCAAACACGTTTGGTTAGGAGCACAAACGTGTAACCGACGTTGGATTAAGAGTCTTGAGCATTTGTAACTATCAAAAAATGTTCGTTTGGTAAGCACGTAATGTAGAATTCATGTATTTGAAGAATTCATGTATATTGTAGGTTGAGTTGTGAGAACTTGTGTAATATTAGAATGCATTGTTTGGCTTGCATGAGTTCTCATGGTAGAACCCACATAATTTGGCATGAAATCTCAAATACTTTGGGTAAAACCCAAAGCATTTGAGATATCATGGTCACATGAGTTCTAGAATTACATGGTGCACCAATATAATGATATCTGTCAAAAAATGAAACAAGAAAAACAATGAAATTGCAGATATCATATAATCTTGAAATCTGTAGGTAGATTACATGCTTACCAAACACGTAGTGACATTTCGAAGTGCAGTCGCTGACGATGAAAATCCATATAGACACTTTGAGGAGACGAGTCTCACACATTATTATGTGTGTGCCTAAGGCAAAACTTTTCTGGTGGGTTGTCGGGGATAAGATAACTATTAGAACAGAAAAACAGCCGTAAAACTGTAAAAACGAGAGAGAGAGAGAGAGAGTTCAGGGGAAAGTAAAATTTCTGTAGTAAAAAGCAAACATCTTTAATTCCTGTCCTGTCCTGACCCGAGCTGAGCTGAGCTTGTTCGGTTTGCCCGAGGGACGGTGGGGAGGGGCATTATAGTAAACCAAAGCATTATCCACTGTATGCCCCGTCTCAGTCCGACCACCACCATCAGATCACCCTGTACTCTCTATCATATCCATCCATCAGCCAGAAATCCCTCCAGAGCCACGTGGCGCCATCACGAGCCATTGATTTGACGGGAGGGAATAGACGGCTGACTTTTACTGCAGGCATTGCAGAGGAGCAGAGGGGGGAAACAGAGGCTGCTGCAGCAGCAGTCGTCGTCGTAGGCCTGTGTCGTCAACATTCGTAGGACTATTATTGTTTTACATGTTTTTTAGCGGTTAGAATTTGTAGCCATAAAGCCGAAAGCAAAATTCAAAGCTTCCTTGGCATTGGAAGGAAGGATGGAAAAGAAAACTGAAAAGAAAAAAACAGAGGGGGGGAAGGGGGACCGGCGAGTTCTCCGCCGGAGAGTAGCCGTCAGCAAAGGCTACAACAGCCTACAGCTAAAACCAATTTTTTGTACGCAGAGTCGGCCCGCGTGAACAAGGATTTTACTTTTTGCGGTTTGCCCTACTACTACTACAACAGATTTTACCCTGTGGGCCCCACTGTATGGCAGAATCCATTTATTGACCTCTATGAATCATCACTTTCTTTTTCCTTACGAGTTATTATTCAATTAATTGATAATAAACCAGTCAGCAAATTAAAACCACTAATGTGCCCAAGTATCGATTTTGTGTTAAGAGTTTGAGATAGATTCACATTTACTGGGTTCGGTTCAAACAGAACCAATACAACATCGAAACCTATTTAACGATGGCGAGAGAAACAACATACTAATTCGTTCAACTTGCGGTTCCTTCATACCAAAACCGAACCGTTTAGAGATTTTGTCGATTTTGGTTAACCAAAACCATCAATGATTTGGTTTTGGTTTTAAAGGGGATTGATTGCTAATGAGTGTTGGTAGTTAACAATACGAACAACTGAATCGAATTGAAATCCGATCCCAGATCGTAATGATATGCCTGCGGCTCTGGATTTCGAACTCGAAGGCCCTAATCATAATAAGGAACTTAAATCCATTTCATCATTCTATTCTTTTGTCCTACGTGACAAGAGTCCGATAAAGTCTCATTAATAATTAGCATCAGGTAGTTCGACGAGCTCACATCACTCCATGCAATTTGTTAACCCCACGAGCGAAGTACTAATTATGGTCTATCACCACCTAATGAGATTGATTAGTCGAACCTAATTAAGTACGGTAATCAAAGAGATCATGATCGTCGACAAGTGAGGAGAAAGTCGAAGACAATAACAAAGTAATGATTTGCTGTGAGATTCTAAACTCGACCTCTTTCCTTCCTCATCGCCACCTTCTGCTTTGCCTTTTGTCTCTAATGGAGATCCGCCACGTGGAGGAGAGCTCTCCAGCCCAGCTTCCCTTTTCCAACCGACGATACGGAGGAAAAAAAAAAACAAGAGTCCATATTTAGCCGGTGGCCGGGTGCATGCATCATCAATCGGTTCGTTTTTACAGTACCAAACACATGCTATCTTCAGAGTAACAGTGAAGAAGAAGAAGAGGAGTGAAAAGGGTAAAAAATACTAGAATGGTCCCCCTTTCTCCCTTCTCCCACTAGAAAAAAAAAAGGGCGAGCTGTTCAGCTGTTGCCTTAGCCAGATTCGAGTAAAATATAACCACACACAGAGACACCAACTGCCCGATAAGGAGAAAGAAGGTTGGTTCAGTTGTTGGCTTGTTGCCTCAAAACCACAACAGAACAGAGAGAGAACAGCCCCAAAACAGTAGGGATGGGTACCCTCCCAGAAGGACCAAACTGCTAATTCTGGGGGGCAAAGGTGTAAGGGGAATTTGGTTCATTTGGGCAAGCAAGGGAAGTTGAGGAAAGGGTAGGGCTGCCCCACAGCAGTTCTGTTTTTGGGGACAGAGAAAAGACGAAAGGGCAAGAAAAACATTCAATGAGATGGTGAAAGAGAGAGAGAGAGAGAGAGAGAGAGAGAGAATTAATGGCAGCCATCATAGGACCCGTGATAGCTATCTAACATGTATTCCCCTAATCTTCTTTTGCAAAGGCTCTGTTGAATAAATGGTGTTGGCTCTTCTCTTATTTTGTCCCTTCATATATTATTGCCTCACCTTATTCCAGTTCAATCTGCATTATACCATTTAATACCTCATAATAATAGTCCACAACACCAGTCCAGAATCTCGGACTGTTCCAGCCCGGTAATGATAAATGGGCCGCAAGGCTTTGCAGTCAAGGCCCATCTGACCTTGGAGATGCTTTCCAAGAGATAATGGAGATGTATGTTACGGACTTACAGTAGAAGCAGATACTGTTTTCGCAGACATTGACCATGAAGGAGAGATGAAGAGACTAACTTGTTGATGATGCAGGGAGGAATGCTGTGTTCGAGATCAAGAAGTCGGATTGGCGTTGTGCCATCCTTTGGTGCAGGGAGGAATGCTCATGAACTCATCGAACTCCTTTACGTGGATGTCACAACACTTCCACTGCCAAAATGAAATGCAGAGGATGGCGATTTTAGCAGGCGAGAAAGTTAGTGGTAGATAGCCAAAACACCTTCTTAAAAAACATACGGTAAATGCGCACCCCTTTGATCCTGTCATGAAAAACAGGAGGCCCTGGATGATAGGTGCACGCAGTATCATGGTTGTTTATTTCCTTGAAAGTTTGATCACATCCGGAGTTCCTGCAGGTTTGGGGCTCATTGATATTAATTTTCTTCTTAGGCGGAGGAGGAGCAGAAGCTTGAATCTCTCTGTTACTTTTAGCTGGGGCGGCATCTTTTTTCGGTTGTGCACCTAAGTAGAAAAAAAATGCATGATTCGGTAATTAGAGACAACAAATGCAATGACAAAAACAAACCAAACCTAAGTAGAAAAAAAATGCATGATTCGGTAATTAGAGACAACAAATGCAATGACAAAAACAAACCAAAAGCACCAACGAAGTACCAACTCTGCTTCTGACAACTTTCTACAACAAATCAAATAATTGCCCTACACACTGGGAAAACTCAGGTGTAGTTTCATATATGATCCTGCCTTTAGTAACTTGTCATTCACCATTAAGACAGAACACTTGACAGAGAGATACAACAGGAGAATGTGGTACGTTATAAGTTAAGTGTTGCAGTTGAATGCTGTGTGGCAATTAGCTAGAGTATCCTAGCAAATAGCGATAAAAGCTTCAGATGGATTATGTTCATGCTGTCTTTCTCTTCATGTCAATTGTTCAGAGGTATTATCAATATTACATTACCGCCTAGACATATGTATATATCGTCTTTTCATAAAGAAAGATGAATGCAGGAACCTTGCTAATGCTCCAATTACTGGCAATTCTTTCATATAATTTAGGGATCTCCTACAGTAACTTGGGTATAATTTTAAGTTAGGTAACTTGCATAGATCTAAACCGTTAAAATCGATCAAATTTATTTAAACCATTGATTAAAGAAATAAAAAATAAAAAATAAGTAAAAAAAATCCATGGCAACATGGGTTGCCGGTGGCCACAAAGCAAGTTACCTTTCTTGTTTTTTTTCTTTCCTTTTTCATATTTATATGTTTTTCCTTATTTTATCCTTTCCTTATTTTAATTCTGATTAAAGTAGAAGCGTTACGAAAGGCTTCCGTAATAACTTAGCACTTTACGTAACGTGAGATTAATACTCATTACGTAAAGAGACCTTCCATTACGTAAAGGTTACGGAACGATACTTATTTCTTACGTAACAGTGAAATCGAAAGCGTTACGTAAAGCTTCCGTAATCACTTAGTTTTTTACGTAACACGACATTAATACTCATTACGTAAAGAGACCTTCAATTACGTAAGGCTTCCGCAATGACATTTTACAACTGTTACGTAAAATACACATTCATTACGTAAAGCTTACGTAATGACTTAACATTTTACGTAACACGAGGTTAATACTCATTACGTAAAGGTTACGGAACGACAGTTATTTCTTACGTAAAAGTTAAATCAGTAGGTTGCGTAATGCTTCCGTAATGACTTAGCATTTTACGTAACGCGAGATTAATACTCATTACGTAAAGACACATTCTATTACGTAAGACTTCCGTAATGATCTTTTACAACTGTTACGTAAGATTACCATATGTTACGTAACCGTTACGTAATACCTATTATATTTTACGTAATGCGACCTGTGAAACCTGCTATAGCAGGTAAAAAAATTCAAGTTACCTTACTTCAAGTTATTGTAGGAAATCCCTATAATTTATCTCACCAATCACACACGCCTCCCAGACAAGTATGTAGTTTCAGTATAATGGATGAAAGAAGAGAAGGAAAAATACCATGATCAGAGCAAAAGAAACCCTGCTTGCACCTTGGACAAAGTTCTCTGGAGGGTGCACTTGTCGTAGAAGGCACAGAGGGTTTAGAGACAGGAGCCTTTGGGGATGGATTCACCTTTGCCACTACTGGCTTCTCGGTAGTGTGTTTACCTGTCTTACATCTATACAAGAGCAATTATTAGCACTTAATACAATCAGAATATAAGATGTGTAAAATGGTTTCTGTTACAGAGATTATCAATTCAGGTCAATCGATCAATAAAGGAATTAGCAGTGATGATCTCAATTCCTTGTTTTTTATGATAACCGAAGCAAACTGTATTTCAGCAAGACAGCCTAGGACTAGGAGCTACTGACCCTCTTATAATCTCACAAGTTCAGTACTAAGATCTTTGCTCAACAAATTGCTAATAGAGAGAAAGACAGCACAGAAACTTACCCTGGAATTTCCATGAATAAGCTGAAATCGTGACTTTTCTTTTTGCAACAACTCCACTCTTTCATTCCATCATGAAACATGGGCTGTCGAAACGACATCCAGAATCAAATAATAGACTCAAAATAAGTAATGGAAAGCATATAAGATTTGAAGATGAAGAATATAATTTTTTTTTTTTTGGAGCCCAAGCGACTTACACCCTGATGCAAAGACCATCAGCCATCCAAACCCAGTCGAACCATGCAATGAAAAGGACAATCACTAAAACTCGTTAGGGATGTCATAGCAAAATCATTGTCAATAACTACAACTTGTTGAACCTAAACAGGATTCCAACATAGCTATTTCAGAGATAGTAACATTGGCAACGCCACTTGGCTGAATCCACAAGTCAACTAGTTCAGGCTGGTATTACAAGATGCTAGCCATCCACAAATTACAAATCAAGTTTGGCAAGGATGAGAATTGAGAAGTGTTCTTCAACCATATCAAACTCCAAACAGCACAATAGGAAGATTAAACCCGAAGCATTAGAATTGAATGAAACTCCAGAACCCAATTAACTATATCAAAGCGTCGCACCAAGGCTTCCTAATTAACCTAATGCGCACAAGCGATACGGAAATTGGAATGATAAACAAATTCTAAGTTCAAAGCAGTATCTAGACGAATGCGAGGAATGTTTTCAATTCAAGCCAAGAAGAAGTCAGAACGGGCGCCTTACCGAAACATGATACTGACACGAGCCTTCAGGATTGTCCTGTTCGGTGAAGGTCGCGTCGCAGCCAATTCGCTGGCACCGCAGCCTGCCATCCGCCATTGGGAGCTTGATCAAAATAAGCTCCCGATGGCAGAAGCTCCGTCGTCCTCTCGGTCTAGGACTGATTTCGCAGCTTCTCCGACGGTTCCAGATGGCGACGTCCAAGTCCACGCTAATACGCTGTAACTGGTCCACGCTGCTTCTAGAGACTTGTACACGAAGACCGGGTGTAGCGCGCGAACCTTTTTTTCTTTGTTTGTGTTAAGGGCATGGTTGTCACGCCGGCCGGCGTGCCACCGGTTGTACCGGGTTCAACCGGTACCGGTCATAAAACCGGCGTGACACCACCGGTATGACCGGCATGATCGATATACGAATCTCTAAGTAAAATGATCTTATTTTAGAGAATTTAATTGATGAAAATTAGTTTATTATTTATTTTATGAGTATAAAAGTTAAATATTGATGTTATTTGTTGGATTCAAGTATAAATGTTTAGGTATTGACGTTAAATGTCATGTTTAAATACGAGTATTTATAATTTTATTTGTAATATTGACCGGCATGAACCGGCACAAACCGGTATGTGCCACCGGTTGAACCATTCCACTTGCTAAACCGGCACACTGGCATAAACCGGTTTGACAACCTTGGTTAAGGGCGTAATGGAGTTCAAAGCCGATCAGTGGAATTTGGGCCGGCCCACAGAGGAAGTCCCCTGGGAGATTGGCTCAAAACTCACATAAACAGAGAGCGCTACCTGTCACCCGACGATATTGATGTGGCATACAAGGGCGATAAAACAATAGTTAGGGCGACGATTAGCAATTCTCGTTCTATCTAGTGGTGAACAAAAAGACAAATAAATTGATTTATCTGTCCAATCTGATCCAACTCACATGCATTCGTCATTAATATCATGGTTTTAACGCTTAGTGAGGATTTTATTTTGTACAACCCGCCTCTTCTAAGTTGGTGCGATTTTGAGTTACACATCTCGTAGAACCTGACCAACCCATATTTCGATTATTATCATAAATTTTTATTTGAGTAAATGACAAGATTGGTCACAAGCAACGACTACAACGGGGAAATGTATTTACCAGAACGTCGGAGAAGCAAGCAGTTGCGGACATCAACATGCTGGCCCAGGGACTCAAAAAGCAAGATAGTGGAGCTAGAAGAATAATAGGATTTATAAAAAAAATTCATTAAAAAATTATGTGGTGTCCACGTGGTATAACATCTCGAGTTGTCGCTTATGTGTGTATCAAGGTGGCATCCTCATCAGCGTCTTGTTAATGTAGCTGACGGAATCTCTAACGGAAGCGGCTAAATTTGTCAAACATGTTTCCAAAATCTAGTCATTTTGTGTATTTCTCAAAAATTTGTTATTATAGTCACAAAGTCGATAGTTATGGCTAATGGCTATGCAAGTGAATTTAGTTAATTTTACCTATAAATATTTTTTATTAAGTGTCGCCAAATCAAGAAAATGATAGTATAGTCAGCATCTAAAATGACTTCGTTAAAGTTTTGGATGAAATTAGACATTTTTTTTAAGAAATTGGCTATTATTATCACAAAATTGGTAATTAGGGCTATACAGACAGGTGTACTTTGATGATTATATCCAAATATTTATAACCAAAAATTCAGATTTTCAAATATAAGTCCTCATATCAAAACCCGTGCAATTCTCGTCACCTAAGAAAGTGTCTAAGTGAAATCAGTGGTTGAACGCTTGTAGTAGCCACGTCAACGCTCGTGAGAGACGAGATCAGGCCGTTGGGAATCCATTAACCCAAAGTGATCCTATTGAACTAGCCATGCCATTTCCTTACCCAAAGTGACTTAGTTGGTAGCTACTAGCTAGCACTCTAGCTTAACAACAACATTTGCAAGTTGCAACCATTTTTTGAGCAACTAGATAGTCTTCAAACAATCGTTCATGTTATCCTTAACATGAAAGGGATTCATTAATTATCTTAGACTATAAATACTGCCTAAAGAAAAATCAAACGTGCAAGTTTTATTATTGAATAAGGTAAAGGAAACGCAAACTGGTTGTTGGGGTACCTCCCAACTAGTGCGTCTTTCATGTCTTATCGTCGAAAGACTGCCTTCAAGTATTCAGTCCAACTTAAGACCTCCTTGAAGTTGAGGTTCTCGTCGGTGAGGTTGTGTCATAAGTCCCGAGCTAGGGATGACAATGGGTCGGATCGGGGACGGATAATGCATATCCATTACCCTACCCAAAGTAGTTCGGGTTTTACCCATACCCATACCCACATAAGAAACGGGTAGAAAATCCAAACCATGCTCATACCCATTCGGGTTTCGGGTATCCATGGGTAATAGTTTTTCTTTATAACTCCAACCAATATGTTAATATTTACACGTATTCTCACGTTACGTAAGTCGAAAAGTACGACAATAATTCACTAGAATGAAGAAAATTAATTAAAACAACACAATTTCATAAATTTTTTTATATTTATATGCTAAATATAAAATATGTTAGAGAATAATATTGATTATTTCTAAACAAAACACATATGCATGTGTATAATCGGGCGGGTTCGGGTTGGAAAGTGAGAAAACCATGTCCACCCATTACCCACAATATTCGGGTTCGAGTTTTACCCATACCTACTAAAAGTTCTTCGGGTTCTGGTTTTACCCTACCCGATTAAATCGGATTCGGGCGGATATCCACGGTTACGAATATTTTTGTCATCCCTATCCCGAGCGTTGGATGTATCAAATGATGTAGTTGACTCTTAGACTTGATGAATTTTTAGTCTCCACCACGAGACCTCTTCTTCTTGCTAACTTTGTTGTTCTCTTTGCCCCATACTAGGTAATCTATTCTTTTTATTTTATGGTTAAACTGTCATCATAATCATTATTTGAATAAATATGTGAACACATTTTGTGTATTTATTTCAACAATCTATTGAAATATTTTCTTCATTAACTTACACTTTTCGAATGTAGTGCTAAATTGATATCAATTTATAATTAACTTGCATGTTCTTATTGACGTAATGATATTTTGATAGCAATAAAAGGTGTAATCGAATCCATAAATTATACATTAGTATATTATTTTTTATATTTAAATTGTTGTTTTTTGGATAAATATATGAATAAATTTTGTCAATTAGTTATGTATTTTCACGTGCCGTGGGGAATTTTTTTTGCCAGCCCTCCCTAATTTCAAATCCTACCTCCGTCCCTGTTGGAAATAGAAACCATTACGACCATTCAAGTTTTCCCTTAAACAACACAACAAAGTCATAGAAGTCGAATCTGGGTTTAAAAGGAAGCATCACCCTTAATCCCAACTTCCCGACCAAGTACTCGCCGGCGACGAAGCTCCTTCTATTACAGCTGTTCTGCCCTTCTTCTCTTCCGTCAAAACCCAGAAATCCAAAAAACCAACAATAGTCAAAATCCATAACCCGAAAAAAATGAAATTGAACCTCCAAATCTGACAAGCAAACCAAAAAATATCCCTTACCTTCATTGCGGTCGTCATCATCGTTGTCGTTGTTGAGCGTTGTTGCTCCTTAGCGCCTTTGCCATCTTTTTTTCTTCCTTCCTCCTCGTCATAATAAGAGAGAATGAGGAACAGAGAAGGAATGATCGAGAATGAGAGGAACGACGAGAGTTCGAGAAGCAGAGGGATACAAGGGTTAGCGTTCAAGATTTGCCTAGGCCTTCTCTATCTTTTTGTGATTTATGTCCATAGACGTATGATCAAATAATGTAATAATAAACATTCAATTAATTGAATCCTTTAATAAGCAATAAACCACAAATAATAATGCATCCAACCTCTAAAACTTATCGATTTAAGTAGTGCAAACTTTGGCGTTGTGCGTGTGAATACACTTTTCCACACATAATCGTACTGCCGAACCCAAAACTCTAAAATTTCGCAGACTAAATTTTGGTTTCGACCCTAAGATCGAGATCGAACCATGTGGTGTTCGACCCACCACAACTAAGGTCGATGGCGACTCCGATCATCGTGCGACGAGCCCCCAATTTCGAGGGGCGGTTGCGACACTCAAAATCTATCTTTCTCTCTCAAAACAACGAAAAGTTCAGAATGTTGCTCTCTCTCTCGACCAGTTTGCGATTGATCTAGATTCCCATATCTTGAAAATTTGGGATTTTGAATTTTTTTGTTTATTATTATTATTATTATTAGAAAGGAAAATGAATGTAGAAATTTTAAAAATATTTTTTTATCATGTGTTCAGGTGTTAACTAATGTGGCATAGTTCGGGCCAAAAAAGCAATTTTATAAACCACAAGATAAAGTAGAAAATTTGTGTATAATTCGGACCAAATTAAGGTAATAATAATATAAAAAAAAAAACCCTCTAGTTGCCCAACAATCAAAGACGTGAGAAGTGAAGGCCTTGTTTGTTTGTCTTTTTCCTTTTTGTGGGTTTGAAATACAGATGTTGATTTTTTATGTATCAACGAATGTTCTCTACCACTTATTAAGACTGGACTTTACCCCGAAGCTTTTTTTATGCTAAATTGCAAGCGGAAACACTTCTGTTCGTGGTTTTTTCAGTATGGCTATCTGTGCGTTATTTTCAACTTCCCCTCTCTTCATTTGCACCTCGGGTAGCCGTAGCAAGCAGTTCATCGGTAACCGACGCGTCACAAGTCCGTCAGCTGCTCTAAATTCTTCGTTGCCGTCATCGTCGTCCTCCCCTGAGTCTGCACCAAGAGAAAGCGTAGTTTCGTCCAAGAACCCATCAAAGCCGTTCGTTGAATCATCCCGACCTTCTGAATCGGGCTTCAACTACGCTCTCGCCAATCCCAATGGCAACCCAGCAGTCGTCCGTTTCGTTAGGTCTACCGAGTCCATGATCGAAAGGGTATGCAAGTTTCTATCTTTTTTTCTTTAGTATTCTGCTTGATGATTGTACGCAACCTGTTTGATGTTTGGTTTCTGAGAAATACTACTATTAAAGCTGTGAACTGTTATCGGTTGTTTAATGGCAAGCGAGATAGATAGGCTTTGGGAGAAAATTACGAGTGCATACCATGGTTGTTTTTATTTTGTTTAGATTTTCTGATGATAGGCTTCTGACGGAAAACAGTCTTGGGTTTGATTTTGGACTGTTTCCGGCCAGTTGCTTCGACGCTGCAGGCTGCTCTAAATCGTGTGGCTGCAGAATTTTTGCTAGATGACTCACTCAATCTTTGTTCTTTTCCTTGTGGAATTATTGAACCAACAGGCTATCTTTGACTTCCGCTTCTTGGCGCTTTTTGCTGTTGCGGGCTCCTTGGCTGGTTCACTCCTCTGCTTCCTCAATGTACTTGCTCTCATGATCCCTTTCCAGTTTCCTCGTTAGTCGTTACGCTGCAACTTGGGAAGTGAATTCCTGACTGTCATAACTTGAGTTCTTTTGGTAAACATCAATCCACTTCCATAAACCACAATGGACATGTACCAATTTCGGGCCTTTCACCAGGAAAAAAGTAGATGAATGGAAGTCAATTTCTGGATTTGGGACTGAAAGAGTACTGTTGCATGCTTTAATTCGATCCCTTGTTGCGTGACATGTTCGTGCGTAGGGCTGTATCTACATCGTTGATGCCTACAGAGTCTATTGGTCAAGCTGCGTGAAAGGTGTACATTCAGGACAGATGGTTTTGCGTCTAGTTGAGGCCATTGGTGAGACCCTTGATGCAACGCGCACCTATCTGTATTTCTTCGTGTACTTCGAATGGGGATCGCTAGCGAGTTTTGAGATTGATACCCTTTTTGATGCAGATGTGTACCTTGCTGGTACCGTGATGTTGATCTTTGGCATGGGATTGTACGGGTTGTTCATCAGCAACGTCCCTCACGATGTCCACCCGAGTGATGATCGTGCTCTGAAAGGATCCTCTTTCTTTGGGATGTTTGCACTCAAGGAGCGGCCCAAGTGGATGAAGATCAGCTCCCTGGACGAGCTGAAGACGAAAGTAGGGCATGTCATAGTGATGATTCTGCTGGTGAAGATGTTTGAGAGGAGCAAGATGGTGACGATAGCCACGGGGATGGACCTCTTGAGCTACTCCGTATGTATCTTCTTGTCCTCTGCTTCCTTGTACATCCTCCATAATTTGCACAAGCAAGAATGAAAAGTACAAACCAAATACTGATTTGTATACTCGGAGGCTAATTTATCAAAGTCATTATCATTGGGTGTTTGTACATAAATTATCAATATAAGTCCACTTATTGTTCTCGTGTTGCTTTCAATCCGAAGAAAACTTGTGTTTTTTTATATAAAAAAGTTGTGATTGAATTCAATGAATGCACCTTTGATCTCTTTGGACAAAGATTGTAACACTTTAGTTGAACTTCATCGACAAAGTATGGGAGAAATTCATCATTCATAAGAAATGAACCGATTTTAAATGATAATGCGCGTTTTTGGGTGAAATGGAAAAGTTATTGTAAGAACTCTGAAGTTAAACGTGCTCATGGTGGAGAACCCAAAATGATGAAAGCATGACGTAATTATCATGGGAAGGGGAAATAATGGTCACTCCCTCCACCCTCCTCCTGTCTGCAGACATCTTCATACTTTTCTATTGACTATTATTTTCCTTTTCTTCCCAACGCCTCTAACCCAAACGATTTCACTTTTCAACCCAATTGTTTCACTCCCCCATTTTTTTTCCCATTCCAATAAAACGAAGAAACATAAGATCATACTAGAGTTATCGTAAAAGTTAACGACAAGATATTTTATAATGAAATCATGGACATCCGCTCACTAAATACCACCTACCAATTTAGCATCTGGTATGAAAATTTTCTAATTGAACCACTAATACAGTACGATTTGTCAATCCGTAATAAGACCACATCCTTCTTCGATTTTTCTAAAAGGGCAAGGTTTGAACAGAAGAGAAAAAGAGCAGGAAGAAGAGTGCCTAAATGGTAAAACACAGAGATTCCAGAAAGCAGAAACTAATAGATTTTTTTTATGAAAACTAACAGAGTTAAAATACAGTAGCAAGAAACTAAGCTTATAGAGCAACTTAGGTAGCTGCAACGAGCCGAAGGGCGACGACCGATCTGCAATACAACAGTCAACAGCAAAGTGCGGCCAATTGGCAAAAGGGCAAAATTATATTAGGGTTAGGGAGCCGCTTCTGCCATTTTTGTTTTTGGTTTGTCGAATAAAGCTGCTGCTCTATATCTCCACTCTTGTCAATATTATTATTGCCCTTTGCCTGCTGCATTCTGCTTTTCATCTCTCTCTCACTCAATTTTTACTCTTGGAAGATGAATTTTCATATCATCCTTCAGTGTTAGTTTCGATATTTAAGACAATTAGTAAGTAGGAGTGGAAATCACAACAGTATAAGTATTCTAATATCAAATATTGCAATCCAAAAATATAAAAGTGTCCTAAAAGTATTTCCATTTCGATTTAAGTTAAAAAACATTTGGTATCCCAATTTCAAACTATTTTTGATATTGTATTGAACTTTCCAAATTACAAATTAATTACCTCTGTAATTAATAATTAAATATATACAAAAACAAATAGTGTTTTGAACACCTTTAATCGTGAATACTTTTATATGGCGTAGGCTTGCAGGTTTAATTCCATGATTAAATACTTTGACGATGGGAAGTAGAGGTGAGAAAAGTCTAATAAAAAATTATCAAAGTCCACATTGAATGAATTCAATATAAATTCTCGAACGAATGGATTTATCACAAGTGCCCAATTGGGACTACGATTAATGAGTGTACGCTTTTTGGTGTTATGAAAATAACAATAAATTTAATGAGAGATAATAGTGAGCTAGGAAACCTTGGAAGCTAAGTTTGAATTGAATGGGGGCTTGCAAGTTGTAAAAATGTGAGTAATGGTTAGAAGTTGTGGATTATATTTAATTAACTGTAATTTTTTTTTGTATTTCTCAGTATTTTGGTATATATCTATATCAATCTCATAATCATGAATACCGAATAACACCCCAAAATCAATTTCAATTCCTAAAAATAACTCCAAAAGTTTGTTAATACCAAATAGTGATAAATTCAGTATGATATACAACATATCACAAATACTGGTACCGAAGTCCCAGCCCTTTTAGCAAGACACATTTACTATATTCCCGGTTGAAAAGAAGTCATCAAAAATAAATTTGTATTTCGAGTTTAAATATGAGAATGAATCTCCGATAAGATAGAGAAACAATTAAATGAACGAACAACTACAATGTATGTAGTATCGAATAAAAGGAGAAGACTAGATTGAGGATCTGTGTAAGAAATCTCCACATTAAAACATTTGGTTACTCTACAATCTACATAGTCGAGGAAGAGATGGATAGTTGACAATGGTAAGCACAGTTTGACCAGAGGATGGCATCACATAGTGAATCCACTATTGCTGTAATTGCTACTATGGTTTTTGTTCTAGTGACTAAACATGACACAATTTATTAATCTCACTGACAAAATGTAGCATTTACCCCTTTATGTTGTCATTTGTATACTTTGTATTCATTGATTTGTAATACAAGTTTACTGTTTTATATTGTAAGTAGTGGTATTTTATACTGTTAGTATGTTTTGTAATGTTTGTCGGTCTAGTTTGTATAATTCGTATGTTTCGTATTGATTTTAAATCAGTTTTCCATAATACCCAAACAACCCCTGTCATTAATTAAAAAACTTTTCCCATTTTTTAACCGTGAGATTGGTATGTCCATATATAAGAGCTAGGAAGGGCTTAATCAAGTGACTAATCACTCCTTAGTCACTTGATCCTCCCACAAATCAACAAACTGTAAATTTGAAAGAATTTACTGTTTCAGTAATAGTAACGGTCGAAAACTGAAGAAAGAATACATATGCAATTGACAGTGGAAACTAGAAACAGTGTGAGCACGAATCAATCTATTGCATAAACTTTTACTGTTAATAAACGAATTTGAGAGCTTTTCTCTCTTGGTACTGGATCAAAATGCTCTCGCAGGAACCCAATTACATGCCAATAGGTGAAGCAGTTCTCCTAGAGCTAGGTAGTGATGGTCTAAGTTACAACATATACTAAGGCGGCAAAATTATATATACAAACCATTCAAAGAATGCACGCGGGAGACTCGTTACATTACGCGTATTTACATGAGACATACATGTATCATCATGCCGCGGACTGTTTGTAGTTCTGATTTAGAGCAAGTCATCTGAAAAACTCACGCCGAGGCAGCCTTCCCATGGTATTATGATACGGGAAGGTCACAAGACTCTGTTATGTGCTTCGATCATTGAAACCTTCTCCTGTACCGTACATGTAAAAGGCATTTTTCAGATGAAGATTCGAACGAAGTGGCAAGCAAACGACATTATCGTGCTGACACACAACGATGAGGGAGGAAGAAGGGTTATAACCTCATTCGGGGCGGTTTCTGGTGGAAACCATTGCAAAAGGACTCCGAGATTCATGACATTAGGTATCAATTTGAACAGGAGAGGTGTTGTGACCTGGATGAACAAAGATTCAGTTGATCACTGTTTTATATGGACATTATGGCACAGCTTAGAATAATACCAAAGAATGGAAAGTATAAGAAACAAACCAGACTTAGAGCGGTTGTTCCAAGAAGGAGAAGGTACATTTTCCCCTGCATTAACAGTGAACAGGTCACAAGAATCAATAGCATGTTCAAGGGCATGAAAGAGAGAAACAGGGAGAGACAGAGAGGGAGAGGCAACCTCAACAAGGTTAAGAGTTGAGGCACGACTAAGTAGAACAAAAGCAAACTCCCCAATTTGAGCAAGCAACACTCCAACCTATAACAGAAAAGACAGAAGTCATGTTTTCAGTTTGGAGAGCTTTCAGTAATCTTTAGCCTCTGAGATATTTTAGAAGCCAACTCACGTGAAATGATGTCCTGATGCCATATCCAAAGGTTTTAATAACCAAAGCAGTAACAGTTGTCTTCACAACTACAACCATAATCACTGATGCTAGTAGTATGTCAACGTGATTCCACAGAAAATGCACGTGTATAAGCATTCCAATACTTGCAAGAAACAGGGCGGCAAACAGATTACGAATTGGCTCCACCTATATAACAGGAAAGGAAAAGTATCTCCACTGTGTCATTCTCAATTCTATAATGTGAACCATAACTCCCAAGAACAAGAGAATTTGCAAATGGAATCATCAGTTTCCATAAATGGTTAATCTGATTGAGAGTGCAAACAAGGATTTTCATATAAAAAAGGTGAAGATGACAGGTTAGTTACAATAGAAAAGCAAGTACTGACTGGGATAAGCATCACTAGCTTTCAAATCTAAACCACTGGTACCCAAACAAGGAACTCAACAAGCAACTGAAGCCGAAATAAATTGCAATTATCGAACCATAGAAGGTCGAAGTAATGAAGACTAGTTCAGATCAAGATCATGTAAACAGAAGTCATGGCTATTTGGGAAGATGGAACTAAAAAATGATAGATTAAAACTCAGAATTGAAGTTAAGTGGGAATCAAAAGTTAAAGGGAAGTACCTGGTCTAAAGTATGCTGTGCAAAGTCAGTTGTGGATATCATAACTCCAGCTACAAATGAACCCAACTCAAGACTGAGGCCTAATTTGTCACTGCACTGAAGATGGTAAAAAGAGACAATTATTATAACATAATGAGGTCCACATTAGGGACAAGAACAAATAATAATATGTTGAGGCACACATTTTGAGTCACAATTTCAGTTTTACAGAACAATCGATAGCTATAACAAGTCAGAAGGTAAGAAAATATCACATGTATTGGTCCAAATAATTAACTGTACAGAATGACTGCTCCGGTTAAGAAAATCAGCAGATTGAAGATAACTTCATTATGTACGTATAATGTAATAACACTCTTTTCCCAAAGCAAGTTCTCAAAATCTTGAACAATACTAGTGCAACAATTTCGTATCACGAGACAGAAAAAAGAAATAAGCAATCCAAGACAATCATAAGAAATATAAGACTGTTGCAAGATCAGACAATCAAAAATCCAAGTCAAACTGATGGAACCATTATTCGTGTGCATGTGAAAAATGCTTTTATGAGGAAAAGCGGGGGACATTTGAACTCACCCATGCAGATAGCAAGCAGAAGGCCACAGCAGCAAGCTGATAAAGTTCATTTGTCTGCATGGAAGATGAATACGGGTGCATTAAGAAAACCAGTCAAATAGAAGGCTAGTCTGCACAAGAAAGACTGGACACTCACTTGAGATGATATCTGGATCATTAGCTTCAGAAAGCGAGGAACAAAGGACCAAGACAAAAATGATGCAGCAGTGAGGTACATGGACAACACCAACAACCTAAATATCAAGTAGTTAGTGTACATTAGGGATCAAGCTTGAAAAAGTAGCCAACCACTAATTAGAAAGCAAAACTGATAGGGTGACATACAATTTCCCCATTGAAATCATTCCATGTAGTAACCCACTGCTGCCACCCAACACTGGGAGTAAAGCAAACAACAATCCAACAGCACAGTCCTGGGGAAGTTCATATGTAGGGAGTAAGCAAGCGGGGCACAAAATCTGCATTTATTAGAGACTCTAGTCACAAGGAACAAGGAAATAGCACCTGAAGAATCAGAGTCCCAACTGTAATTTGACCATGAAGTGAACTAGTGCTGTTACGCTCAGCTAAGAATTTCACCACCTGTTTTGCGTAAATGCAGAAGAGGGGGTCACAAGCAACATTGGTAAACATACAAGTAACTAATAGGAATCAGAACACTGATCAGAAATCTTGAAATAAAAGAGTACCACTGCTGTTGATGACATTGACAAGAAGGATCCAACAAAAACACCGTCAGACAACTCTGCTCCACACAGCTACAAAATTGGCAGATGTAATTAGCACTATTTTAACAACTACAGTGGCTGTAGGCAAAACTCCTGGGACAAGAAACATACCATGGCAGTTACACCGGACAAGAACATAAATATCACAATTTGAAGAAAACCTCCAAACACAGCAACAGCACCCACCACCCTCAACTGTATCACCAATTGATTAGTATGAACTTCACAAACACAAAACTGTGCAAGTAAGAAAACCAGTTTAAGGCATTCAGACCAATTTATCCTTACCTTTGTTATAGAAAACTCAAGGCCTAAAGCAAAAAGTAGAAATATAACACCAAACTGCGCAAATGTTTCAACCTGCAAAGGAAGAAAGAATCCAAGTCAAATTTAAAATTATGATAGTGTTTAATGACATAGAAGAGAAAACTGGATGATCCATGTAATATAGATCATTAATGCTACCTGCACCATCTCACTGATGAACTTAAGACCTCCTGGTCCAATGAGTGACCCAGCAAGAAGATAACCCACAATAATCTAAAAAACATAAGATATCAGAGTTCATCAGTCGTTGTAAAATATCAACCTGAACTCCCAAGCAGTGAATCAAAGAATGGAGCAAAAAATACGCATACTAACCGGCTGTCCCAAACACGAGAAGATAATTCCACCAATGGCAGCAGAAACTATGACAACCACCAGATCTGAAATTAATCTGTGGGAGAGGGAAACAAAAGTATCATATAGCACATTAAAATCTGGATTTGAGTATGGCAATAACAAGTGGCAATCTATAAAAAAATATGAAGTCATTGCAGAAAGGATATGCACCTCAAATCGACTTGAAGTACTGGATACTTGGATTTCTTATTTGACATGACAAAGACATTGTCCTGCAAGAAGTCAGACACATTGCAAACATTTTCTACATTAATAATCCACCTAAGAACTGCATATCTGCCTACACAGTTTGAAATAAACAAGTCCTACTGAGTTTCAGGAACCTTTTTGTCAATCAGGGTAGTGCCATCCTCGGAATCTTCATTCTCCAGAGAAAATACATCTTGGAGCTGAAAGGATCTTGGTCCACTGTGAACAAATGGAATGAGAGGCAAAAAAATACACGTGAATTTAGTTTTCCCAGCAAAGCAGGACAGGAACAGTGTCACTTCATTTTTCGAAGTTAAAGAACTTTCATGGCAAGTATTTTTGACAAACTTCCGCACCTTCCCGGCTGTGAGTCATTTTTCTTGCCCTTCTCATGAGTAACTTTGGCTACCGTTTCCAACACAGCCTGAAAAATTATTAGCAGGATTCATCGTGAATGCACTGAAAGAACTTGAATTCACCGGTGGATTTAATGGCAAGATTTAAAGTAACTATGCGAAACAGCAACTAGAGTATCAAAGCTGAAAAAGGAAATAGTATCGTTAACGTATATATGAGGTGTGTGACAGATATGGAAGGTGAAGCTTGTCACAATATTTCTCACAAGACGCAAAATTAGATAAAAAGAAATTCCAGAAACAGCTATTTCCTTCATTAAACAGTAAGTATCTAATTCAGTAAAAAAACTCCCAGCTTTATTTCCAGAAAGTAGAAGTATAAACCTACCTGTTGGTCATTTACACTGTTATTGAAGTTGCTTCCATCAGAACCTAGACAAATAGTACAAAACGGTTAAACATCTACTACAGAAACATCAAAGGGAAGAAAATTGTCATATGACAGACAGGAATCGGTAACTCTCTCGCAAGATGGAAACTTATGTCAACGCACATGAATCGCGATGCAAGAATGCAGCATGAGTCCCTACGCTGGCAATTACATACTAAATGACAACCTTTCTTTCTTCACAGTATCATTCTATGTGATTTTCCTTGGTATGAATCTTCGCCTGGCATGATGTACATAGTACAATAACAAAGATCTATCGAAGCAACTACTTGACTTCAAGGATCAGTCACATATAAGACCTCTGGAGCTTAGAATTTCGTCTCTCCACTACTGTGTCCTCAACAACAGCTTTGCATCGTTTAAATTTCTGCCAACGGATCAGGTGTTTCCAAGAGAATACAAACCAGACTTCATCAACCTAGATACAGTTACTTGGTAGGCAAACAAGCTTAATTTCCGCCATTCTCATCAGTAACAAAAATTGAATCTGACGCTTCTCACCCTTCCTTCACAGCTATCCTTATCTCTAGCAGTTCATTAAGCAAGCAGAAGAAAGCAGGGGACTAGTCCTGCTCACCTACGCTTCCAATCAAGATCAGGGCAAGCGAGGCTAGATTCCAGAAACCTAATTGGTTCAAGAAGTTCCTAAAAGCTATCCTTATGTCTTGAAGTGAAAAGAACGAGTAAAAGATGGGGAAAAGAAGACGTAGGACTAACCTTCAGGCTGATCATTTTCGGAGAACTCTTTCTCGAGAACACGATCGAACATTTGGGCGATACTCCCTTCTCCATCGCCGGGAGAGGATGAATTGATCAAATTGCCGTAGAACCTCTCCCTCATTTCCTTGTCAGATCTAACGGACTCGCAAATCCTCGCCGGAGCCGCCACCAGCAGCAGGAGCAGCAGCAGGCAGCGGCAGAATCCACAAAATGCTGGCTTCGCGAGGAGCATCGCTGCCATGATTTCGTCCCGGCGGCCTCGCGAGCGCAAGCGGAGGACTCGAGCGATTAAAATTCTTCCGTAGGATGTTCGTTATGTCGACGAGTCTTTAGAATTTTGGTTGCAACCAAAAAGGTTTAAACGCAGTTCCATTTATTATTATATTATTATTATTATCAATATTAATGATTTAATTACATTTTTTGAAAAAGGTTTTACGAAAATGTGATGTCATGATCCCAGATATCTGGGCCCCGCCGGCCATCCGGTTCGGCAGTCGCACAATTTGACATTGGACGGGAGGTTGCGTAAAATGTGCAGATTTGCAGGGTCAGCGCGTGACACTCACGGCTTCTTGCTCAGTTCTGTTCAGCTAATTACGACTCTGTTTTCGTGTGATATACTCCACACTCGCTTCAGGAAGTGAAAAGGCAAGAATTCAATTAATTCGCTATCACGGGAAAAGTACTTGAATTAATCTTAATTCTTAGTGTGGTTTAAATAATTAATAATACGATCATTAGAAGATTAGTTTAAATTTTGTCATATAATCCAACACCATTGGCTACGTCATCAGTCTATTCAGCTAGTTTGAACGATTTTTGTTGTAATTGAGTGGTGTATTTTAGACTTTGACAACCCAAAAAGATACGTGGGACCAGCCCAATAGGAAGTGGGAATCACGCAGGCTCGTCTGCGATTCTTCTTTTCGCGCGGAGGATTTTTGTTGTAATTGAGTGATGTGTTTTAGACTTTGACAACCCAAAAAGATACGTGGGACCAGCCCAATGGGGAGTGGGAATCACGCAGGCTCGTCTGCGATTCTTCTTTTCGCGCGGGGGCTTTACCCGCGCTCGTGAATCGCTAAGGGAAAACTGTCCTTTAGGTTTACTCCCGTTTCTGGCTGGCGGGGGCCCAAAGATCTTGATCCGACCCATGGGAGCAGTAACATTTGTTTTGGCCCAAAATTTTAAAACTCAGGAGTGTAGAGATTGAGCCCGTATGCTTTAATTAACCAGGGCGGAAGATGATGACGTGTCAACTGCCGAATATCTTGCACATGTTCGTCAGCCAGTCCTACGGAAGCGCTTGTTTCTGGTTCTGGAGTCTGGACTCTGGTACAGCAAGCCACCCGACTCGCCGCCGGAGACTTGTGCCGGCGAGAGTGAGGCTCAGGAGATTAACCCTAAGATCAGAAGTGTGACGAGCCTCGCTTCCGCACCCTCTAGATTTGCTTCTCCTTCTTCCAATCCGTTGCCGGTGAAGTTCCCTGAATGGCGGCTGTATTTAAGGGATTGGGAGCTACTGCAGTAGCAATTACTGCCGCCAATGCCCTCGATTCCAAGAAGTTCCTTCTCAGGTATTTGCTCCTGCTGCTCTCTCTAGTCTCTACTGCTTAACTTTGCGCCTGCCAACTTGTTTGCGACATGAATCTGTCTCAGTTTGTCATTGTACAATTGAATGGCAATTTTGGAAATGTGAGCTGTGATTTGTTCCGTCCATTGACTGGAATGGATCCGTACTTCCCTTGGGTTTTGCTTCAACCTGGAAGACCTTTCAGTGCAGCATGTCAAAGTAACTTTTTTTTACAGTGCATTGTGCATAAATCAGCGATTTGATTGAAGGTTTTTGGCTGATAATTAGTGGCTATAAGTCTTTAACCCAAGCCTTTGAACTTTGATGAACCTAGGTACTTTTTTCGCAGTCATTTTTGTTCATTCCTTTCTATCCTTGTCCTGTATTTTTATCTTTTGTTGGGGGAAAAGAACATAACTTCACGCTATGATCAATTTCAATAGTGGTGCATTGTTTGATTCAGGCAGGAAAACAAGCTTGGTTGTGGTCGAATCTGATGGCAATGTGAACTTCACCGCCAAACTTCCACTGCTTACCTTTTGAAACTGATACATACTGCAACACGTCTCGCCATGTCTGTTATGCAATATGCATCTATGTCCCTTGAGGCTCTTTTAAGTTTGCACTGCCTTCTCGTGGAATACTTATCTGACTATTTCTATAACCAGACATGAACTTATGCTTTCTGAGGTCGTACGAGAAGGGCTAGAAGAAGAAATGGAAAGAGATAATCGGGTTTGTGTAATGGGTGAAGATGTGGGCTGTTATGGAGGTTCTAACAAGGTGACCAAAGGCCTAGCTGAGAAGTTTGGAGATCTCATGGTTCTTGACACCCCAATTGCTGAAAATTCCTAAATCAGAACGGGGATTGGAGCTGCCATGGTTGGGTTACCCTCAGTTGTGGAAGGGATGAACATGGCATTTCTCCTCCTACCTTTCAACCAGATCTCAAACAACTGTGCCATGCTCCACTACACCTCAGGTGGCCACTTCACCATCCCAATCATCATCCGTCGGGCCTGGTGGTGTTGGGCGTCAGCTTGGCGTTGAGCACTCACAACGCCTTGAATCGTATTTCCAGCCCATCCTTGGAATCCAGATGGTTGCATGCTTGACTTCTTACAATGAAAGGGCTTGATGAAAGCTGCAATCCGAAGTGAGAATCCAATGACCCTTTTCGAGCATGTGCTGCTTTACACCCTCAACGAAAGAATCCCAGACGAGGCATACATCTGCAATCTGGAGGAGGCTGAGATGCTTAGGCCAGGGCAATATATCACCATCTCCACCTACTCCAGAATGATGTATCATGTGATGCACGCTGCCAAGGCTTTGGTGAACAAGTGGTACGACCCTGAAGTGATTAACATCAGGTCCTTGAAACCTTTGATCTTCACACGATCATGAACTCAGTGAAGAAGACACATCGGGTGCTGTTAGTGGAGGAATCCATGAGGACGAGAGGGATTGGTGCTAGCTTGACTGCAGCCATCAGTGAGAACTTCATTGATTATTTGGAGGCCCCAATTATGTGCCTGTCATCACAGGATGTGCCATCACCTTACCGTTGGGAAATTGGAGGGATACATTGGATGAGTACACTAGTGTGGTAGAGTTCTTATGCAAAAAGGACGGGAAAGCCGCCTTTCTACTTCATTTATTTATTTATTTATTTTGTTTTGGTATGGTTTCTTAAACAGCTTGTGCTTGTTTTGACAAACAATTTGACGTGAAGAAATCAGATTGTCAATGAAGTGTTTTGTGCACTAGGAATCATACATCATTGCGATGGGGTTCGTATGTTTTGAAGAATTTTCTGCGATAAATGAATTTTTATATAAACCACGGTCAACTCACCTAAATTTTGAATATAAATCAGCCTCCATCCTAGCAAATTAAACTAGTGTAAATACCAGCTCATCAGTTAATCTTGTTGAGTGAAACATATAGTGTATATGCATTGCTTTTGACTCTATTATGATCACGGCAGAGTTACAGATGGATTCGCTCTAATGAAAATATTTGGTTTCTTGTAGGAAGATGATTGAAAGAAGTAATTGATGATGTTCTTGCTTAATTTGTTGGTCGGCAAGATCAATGACTCCATCCGCTCGAAAGGAGATGGATGTTGTTCCAGAATCTCATACATATAGTTCAGTATATATAAACAGCAAAAAGGCATTACAATACTATCTTCTCAAGGTAACCTGCAGTAACACTTTACATATATGCATATATACATGATCATAAAGTCCAAGCATACCTCAACGGTAAAGCTGCGAAGTGTCAACGTTTTTGTAGTCTGCACACATTAGAACAAGGATCTCAAATAGAAAGCTACGACCGTCTTGTCTAAATGGTTCACGTCCGATGTCCTCAACTCGAAATCTGCACGATCTAGAGCAGGAAGGGTTGAATTGAAGAACCCTTTGCCAACTGTCACATTTTCACAAAGAGTGAAAGTTTGGAGTTCCGGTGCATATATCTCAATCTCGTAGCGTGCCATCAGCTCCAGTTTCAAGCTGAGCAACTGGGGTCCATGTACCTTTACCTTGCTCCCCATCTGCTACCCATTGTGGGAGTGATGGCCAAATTTTTCAAGCAAGGAAAGTTAGTAAGAATGAGACCCCGGCTATTGAAAGGGCAACGTCGCAGGCTCAACGTGGTCAGCATTGGGAAACCAGAGCAGGTTGCAAACCCATGATCGATGTTGATCCAGTGGAGGTCTAGAGTTCTCAGATGATTACTTGTCTTCTTCTTCCTCTTCTCGTTGTTATGAATATTAGTGTTGCAATAATCGGAGAATATCGCGCTGAAATTGCGGTACAGCCAAGGCCAAGAGCAAGCAGGAGTAGAGAAGGATTCGTTCCTGGCACTCCAGTGCACGACTAACTCTTCAACGTCATGGGACAACGCATAGTCGACGACTTGCAAGGACCTACTGCCTTTCCCTTTTGGGGTACTTCTATCGACACCGTAGTAGAAAACCTTGTGGAGCTTAAGGTCATAGCGGAGGGACAAAACCTTGGACACAAAACTGTCGAACTTGTGGGCTAGGTAGAAAGAACCCTTGTGTAAGTTGAGGACAGGGACGTGTTTCCAAGCGCGGTTCCAATCCCGCGACAACACCGAGGTCTGGACGGCCAATTTTGTGCTGAGGAGCAAAAGGATGTGATAAAGAATGGGTTCTGGAAGATGGGTTAACCTGTCGGTAGTAATAGTAGTAGTAGTGTCTTCTTTGTCATGACGCCTTTTTCCAGCTTTCCGCAACTCGCCGCCGTTGTTCATAGCTGTTGAAAATTTTGACTAGAAAGGGATTCCAGTACAATGTGGAGTCGTCACCCGTTTTGGATGCATCGGCGGGGACAGGGGCTTCAATCGCGAGACTCTGTTTTCGTCTCCCGCCACTGTAATTCTGGAGCAGAAGGTGCATGAAGAGGACTAGACGGCGGCTGGTTCTGGTGGGGCAAGCGCTGCAGTACTTTTATGTTATATCCCATACATTTTTAGAGTTAACCTAAAATCTTATACGGGTCGTTTGCTTCATGGATTTGAAAAATGAGGGTTTTGGTAAAATTTGGATTTTGAAAAACCATGGATATATGATGAATTTGGTGGCATTATGGATTTGAACAAGTCTATTGTTTGCTTGTTGGATTTGATTATGGATTTTGTTTGAATAGATTTGTGGTTATGAAATACAAATTACCTTGTTACCCTTATCTAATTATATTTCTATATTATAATTCAAAAATTTCATTAAAAAAAATCCAACGCATACAATGAAATTTTAAACGCTTTATCACTATGTGGACTAATAATTCAACTACTTATATAGAAATGTACTATACAATTTAGCACTAATTAACAACTCATCTAATAATGTACGCAATATTATGTATCAATTGCAACCAATTGCTCGCTTTATTGCTACAACTTATCATCTTCTTGCTAACTCCCCGATTTTGGAATCCGACAATCAATCAAATAATAATGCACAAGATGAGCATAAGATGTTTATAGTTGAATCTAACAAATCACATATACATTCATATTTAAATAAACTACGATATTACAAAACGAAATGATAAATTCTCATATATATAAAATACGACATTATAAAAGTTCATAGTTGCGTGACCATTGAATTAAAGTAGGACAACTTTGTAATTAAAGTAATAAGTAAGGGTAGAAAGGTAATTTACCATCATGGAATTTAATTCATCACCCAAATCCCACCTCAAGAGGCGGAACTTCCAAGTCCGCGGGGTCCACGGATTTGGAACCCCAAAAGAGGCGGGACCCACAGATTCCATCTCCCTAATTCCCTAATGCAAACGATGGATTTCTGTTAAAGTCCATGACGAATAGATTTCCATGACCAAATCCATCATCAAAACCCTCAAGCAAACGACTAATTCTCTATTTAATCGTGGTGGAAGAAAAGAAACCATCTCATATCGTATCGACCGGTCCGATCGAAAAGCAAATACCAAAATCAAGGCCGGCACAATACGCTCAAAACTAATAGAAATCATGTCAACCTCTATTTTACGATTGAACATATGAACTACGCTCAAATCATCAAACACATCGATCTCTTTAGAGTATGCATTGCAAATTTCACTCTATTCTAAATCTCTGTACTGTATCCATCGACGATCGACCATGCGCATCTCCAACGAAAATGTTTGGTTCCTTACAAGAAGACGCTTCAAAGAAGTAATCGATGACTTTGTCGTGTAATTTGTTGTCCGGCAGAATCAAGGACTCCATCCTCTTAAAAGGAGATGGATGCTGATCCAGAATCTCATCACGCATACAGTTCAGTATCACAATAGTACTAGAGCTGCGCAGCTTCAAATTTTTCGCGCTCTGCACATATTGGAACAAGGATCTCAGATACTCACCCGCGACTGTCCTGTCCAAACGCTTCATGCCCGGGTCCGGCGCCTTCAACTCGATATCTGCACGATCCAGATCAGGAATGGGGGCTGAATCGAAGAACCCGTTGCCAGCTGTGCCAGTCGTCACCTTCTCACACAGAGTGAAAGTTTCGAGCTCCGGCGCGTATATCTCAATCTCGTAGCACGCCATCAGCTCCAGTTTCAAGCTGAGCAATTGGGGGCCATGTATCTTCAACTTTCTCCCCATTCCGGAACCCTCCGTCCGGTAGCAGAAATTCATGGACAAATTTTTCAAGCGAGGAAAGTTAGTAAGAGTGAGACCCCGAGCAGTACCAAAAGGGCAACTTCGCAGGGTCAGCGTGGTCAACATTGGGAAGCCAGAGCAGGTTGCAAAGCCATGGTCGAGGTTGATCCAGTGGAGGTCTAGAGCTTTCAGGTGATTATTCGTCTTCTTCTTCTTCTTCCTCTTCTCGCTATTAGCAATATTATTAGTATCGCAGTAATCCGAGAATATTACGCTGAAATTCCAGTACGTCTCGTCCCTGATATTCCTGTGCAGGGCTAGCTCTTCAACGTCGTGGGATAACGCGTAGTCGACGACTTGCAGAGACCTACTGCCCTTGCCTTTTGGCAGGCTTCCGTCGCGCCGTAGTAGAAAACCTTGCGGAGCTTAGAGTCGTAGCGGAGGGACAAAACCTTGGACACAAACCTGTCGAACTTGGCAGCCTGTCGAAAAAAATTTGTATGTAAGTCGAGCGCTGGGACATGCTTCCAGGTTCGGTTCCAACCCCGCGAGAGCACTGAGGTCTGAACGGTCGATTTGGTGTCGAGGAACGAAAGGATGTGACACAGGATGGGTTCGGGAAGATGGGTTAACCTGTCGTCACCGCACATTTTTCCGGCTTGGATGTTCTCTGAATTTCAGGATACGGTCCATCTTATAGGCAACACAAAAAAACCTAGCTTGCTCACCAAGACACGCACGAGCTAGGACAGGCGTATTCCGAATCCGATTTGTGTTTGTTGAGACTGGCAACACTCGTCCTCAGCCACTGCCGCTTCGGGCTGGCGGGAGCCCGGAATTATTGGTCCGGCCCAATAATGACGAGGCAGTCGATTGAGCCCATATTCTTGTTCTCTCGAATGCGGTGTGGGTGCTTGCTACCATATTCTTGGCTAGGGCTGGCGGACGGTTTTCCGGTTAGCGGATAACCGGCTGGTTTTCGACTATCCGAAAAACCGATCGCAAAGGCCTCGATCGGTTGGCGGTAGAGGAAATCAGGGGTCCGGTTAGCCGACTAACCGGGGTCGAAAACCGGCGGTTAACCGGCTAACCGACCCCCTTCCCTATGACCCAAAAACGACGCCGCCCTACTCGAACCCTAGCAGCCAGCAGGTCCGCCTCCAACCTCGCAGTCGCTCGCAGCCGCCTCCCAAATTCCCAATTCCAAAATCAGTCGCAGGCACTCACAGCCTCCACCCTTCTCGCCTTCCCCGGCCTTCCGCTGCAGCGCCAACGGTGAAAGAGGGCAAAGAAGATCTCTCCTCCCTTGAAACTCACCTGTGGAATCCCAACTCAAAAGCCAATCGACTTCATCTCAGGTACCCGCCTCCTCCTTGCCTTTTCTTGGTTGAATCCCAATCCCAAACTCATATCTCTCTTCCACCATAAAATTTCAGGTCTCACATAGCTTTCTTGGCCGAAACCCAGGTCTCGAACTCTCCCTCTCTTTCGCTGTTAAAGAAGAAGAAAAAAAATGAGGGGAATTGTTGGCGTAGAGGCAGAAGATGTAGAGGAACTGAGATCGATCGTCTGACCAATCCATCTCGCTCCTTTCAGTGCAGCTTCCCGGAACATGCAAATCTCCTCTCATCCATTGCTGTAGAACACCCATCTAGCTAGGAACCCCCACCGCGCAACAGCCACCCCCACCGCCATATCCCCACAGCAGCTCCTCCGCGTCCCCATCCCCTGCATCTGCGTCAACGGAACAGGTTCAGCAGCGACGACGGTGGGGAATCAATTCTAGGTCAGTGCGTAAAAGAGAGAGGAGAGAAGAAGAAGAAGAAGTTTGTTTCTGGGTAAAAGAGAGAGGAGAGAAGAAGAAGAAGTTTGTTTCTGGGTAAAACAGAGAGGAGAGAAGAGGAAGAAGATAAAGAATGTGTGGCTTCGTTTTTTTTTTCCTGTATTTCTTTCATTTTTTATTTTATTTTGTAATCTCTTGTTAGAAGAAGTCGGTTGTCGGTCGGTTAGACCACTGAACCGAACCGCCCATCAATCTGTCGATTGCCCCGGTTAAATCGTGCCTGAACCAAAAACCGCCCGGTTGGTTTGCGGTTAACCGGGACTCTGGGGTCGGTCGGTGGACGGTAGCTTATGGTCAGGTCTCGGTTTAACCGAAAACCGAGAATTCGGTTTTCGATTTAACCAAAACCGACCGGTTGCCAGCCCTATTCTTGGCTCATCTCCTACACCGCACAATCCATGAGTTGCATGTTATTATGTTAATGCTTCGATGGGTATATGAGAACAAATATTGGTTAAAGACTACAAGGTTGACGGTGGTGATGTCTTTCCAATCCAATTTCTTTCTTCTTTTCTTGGTGCCGGTTTTCTTTTCGAGCACAAAGAAATAAGTGATTTGTGTCATCAAATAAAAACAGATCCTGAATTGTTATTCACCGGTGCATAATAAAGTGCAATTATTGATGAAAGATTATTGTAATTTCAACAATAGTTTTGATCCCACCCTTATATATATATATATAGTGACTTCTACGGTTGCCTAGGGCAAAATCCGGGGTACGGGTACCTTGGCCGATCTTAACCATTCATTCTCAATCTCCACGGCTCCGTTTTTTGAACCTAACTGCGCCACTAAATAACTAAACAAATTACAAAAAGCCTCCTTACGCGTTAAGATTGTTTTCATCCTAGTCCAACTAACTGCCCCGATTAAATTAAATGGATCAAAACTGCAAACCCCAATTGGGTAGACCCACTGCCGCACTAACCAATTACCAGTCTCCCTAACCAATTACACGATCCCTTTCTCGTCTTGGAGGGACGCTCCTTCACAGTTCCAAGAGAAGCTTCCCATACAATTTGAACTCCCCAACTTAATCATCTTTTTGAATCCCAATTCCTTGCATCCACATTCGACGTAGTTTGAACTTCCCAATTTATTTTGTCTTGTTTGTTCTTCGCCATTTTATTTCCCCTCGCCTATGTCTTTCTAACACGATTACGGCGACCATGTCTATTATTGTGTTCATCAAACTTTTCATTTTGCTAACCCTAGGGTTCATGTCGGTAGTGCTTTGTCATCTTGTCTTACCGTTATTGTCATTTTCTCGAAACTTCTATCACTCGATGAAATTAAGGTTTCCTGATAAGTAGTGTTCGTCTTGCCCAGAGGATTGAGGAAGGAGATGAAGAAGACATAATTTGATTCGAATCGGATGGAGAGGTCTCCTTAATTTGTGTTTATGTATTAACGGTACATTTAGGACTAATTCTAGTTGGACTGGGTCTGATCATTGATTTTTGCATGCTTTTAAATAACATTCAAAAGTGGACTTGTACATGATCCATGCAATATTCAAAAGTGGGCCTGGAACGTGCGAGCCAATTTTATTTCTCTTGCCGTATCAATTCATGCGCCAACCCTAGTTTAACTAGCATGACTTACCCTAGTTTAACCTACACGAGTTACCATTATCATTACATATCTTCCGTAATCTTCTAACTCTTGACATTCCAGACTCAACCGTCTCCATCACACTCACGTCTCCAAACTCAACCCCCATGATCACTTATTCTTACACCTACATTCTCTCTCTCCTCCATGTTCACCTTCCCCTTGTTCCTTCTTCCTCCAGACTCCATGGCAAAGAAAAGTAGATCATTTGCGGAAATGGGGATACTATCTCTATCAAATGAAGATTGTCGATCCACCGCCAGTCTCGATGACTATCTTTCGTTTACAAGCAAAACCGCCATTGTCGCCGAGTACGAGTTCATCCACCTAAGTCCTTTTCCTCCAGAAGTGAAGACGTTAATAAAAAATCTTGGCTGTGAAAATTTCATTGTTCTCCGGAGTCGAGGAAGCACAAGTTACTGCCCCCATGTGGTGAGGAAGTTTTACCACAATCTACAGCTTTCTGGTCCCTGTGATTCTCATCTAGTGTCGATCTTCCTCGAACACAGAGTCTGCTTTCAGCCTCATCAATTTGCTGAGATCCTTATGGTGGACACTGGCAACGTGGACATACTCGGCATTAATAGACCGAAGGCGAATGATATTTTGTTGGATCCATTACAGGTCAAAGCTAAAGGTTCGGGGGCTAAAAAATCTAAAAGGAAGAAAGGAGAACCACGACAGTGTAGTAATTGCGGGGAATGTCGCCACTATAGGACCCGATGCCCACATCCTGTTGGCTATGTGAAGCCAACCTCAAACAGTGATGCCCCGAAGGCTGGTGTTTCGGAAGAAGGTGGCGGTGGCAAATGATACCGATGTTGATCCTCCCACCACTCAAAATCAGTCGGAAACAGTACCAGAGAGAAGGCAAAAGCATTGCAGTAAGTGCGGTTCTACCAATCATAATGCAAGAAAGTGTACTGGGTCTGGGCCATCCGATGATGAAAATGACGATGACAACGATTACGAGCAACCTAGGGTAAGAATAAAATATAATTGTTCGTGTCTACACAATGCAGTTGCATCCAATATTTTTGTACGACTAAAATCGTCATTATCGATTTTGCAGAAGAGGCCTGTTACCAGAAGTAGCAAACTGACACGCTAAAACACAACACCTAATAATGGTCAAGTGTAACCAATGAAAGGGACTGCAGTATAGTGGCACAAGTAATAAATATCGAATTCACGGGTCTCTAGAGTTACTATTACTCAGCTTCAGTTCATTATCTAGAAAACTAGATTAAGGATTTATTTATAAACTACTCTACTGACTACTCTACTAATTACAAGTTGGGAACTCACTTAGGTATGATTCCCCCTAGCTCCTCAATTAGGTCCAAGTTGCAATTACCTTTGGTTGATCTACTGTTGATTAAACTGCGGAAGATCCTAAATTAGCTTGGAATCTCTTAAGCTGACCAAGCCCTCTCAGACAGAATACCCGGCAGGCGACTAGCCTTCACCGGGATAGACTGCTAAGGCGATTCACACAGATCTCCACTACTGGAATGAATTCCAGTACAAAGCAGTGAATTGGTTGACTCTCGCACAACCAATTCACCACTATCAATCAAGGAAGCTCTCTTAACCTAATCAGATTCTATCTATCATAGGTTAAAGCAGAAATCAAGAGAATTTGATCAAGATTCTATCTATCCTAACACATGGAACTAGGGTTCCTCAAAACCTAAGTGAAGGGAAGTTACTCCATAGAGAAGAGAGAGACTGCAGAAATCTGATCTAGATCTTCAATGTCCATCTCCAAGCTTGATTCCCGAGCTCCAATGGCGAAGAAATCCTCCAAAATAGCTCCAAGAATGTTCCCAAGTCGCTCTCTCTCTCTAGGGTTCGTCCCTTGGGTGTTTGGGAACCAAAAACCCAGCTCTCCTCTTTCCTTTTGCTGAAAATCGGGTTTTAAACAGGAATTCCCGATCACGCGGCCAGGCCACACGGCCGTGTGGCTTTCCCAGCTGCCCATGTGAAGGCTCGGTGATTTCCACACGGCCACGACCCACACGGCCGTGTGGAGTTCCAGGATGCCCGTGTGGCTTGCTCAGCCTCTGTTTAATGCTTCGTTTCTCCCTCGTCCGGACTCCGAATCAGTCGCCGTTTGATTCCAGACGCTTGTAGTCTCGTCCTCTTTCTTTTCTTGACAATCTTGCATGATTCTTTGTCCATAAAGTGAGGTAGAAATCCATTCTTCTTCAGGTCATTCCCGAGTTTCTTCTCCCGAATCGTCAATTGATCTCTGATTGACTTGAAACTTGCGCCTATGCTTCAATTTATGTGCTAGGACCTGAAATATGACAAAGGAACACAACCTAGCGTAAAATAGGCCAAAGACACGATAATTCAAGCTCAAACAATCAAGAAACAAAGGGGAAAACATGTGCAAATACCGAGTCATCAAATCCCCCCACACTTAACTGTTTGCTTGTCCCCAAGCAAACCTAACTCAAACCAATGCAGCTCTCCAGCCTCTATAGCAACACACAACCACGATCGTCGGTAGAGGATTTCCTAGATCATATAGCAGCTTACGAGGTCAACTGGTCTTCTAAGACGTCCCCTATCTCTCTCAATGCGAGTATTAGACTCAAGCCAGGATCATGAGAAGAAGTGGAAGTAAGACAACCAGTTCATGGATAAAGGAACTCACACCATTCACAACCAAGGACTCATTGTACCGGGGTGCTCTTTCACTTCATTTCACCATTGGAACCCCTTTTTCTCACTTTCATTTGCATTTTTCTTTCATTTGGTGGGGTTCCAACTGCAGTCTTTTGCACGGTCGACCCTTATTAGTCGAGCAAGAGCAATTTCTGTACACCTGGCGCTCGCCAGAGTACTTCTTTTAACTCATTTTCCTCAACTCGTGTGGAGGGTCAATGAAATTAAGGGGGGTCAGAAGCTCTATCCGTGCCCTTAAAAACACTTCCTCAAGTAGGCAAACCGTTCAACGGGTGGAAATTTTACTTGTACTAGAGACAACTTAGCTTCACCTTGTAGGAGTACCCCACTAAGGATCACTAAAATCTCTTCCAAAACCCGATTTTGTGCAATGAACGGTGCCGCACACGTTGGGCTTACCCCATGTTTAAGATTTAATGATTTTGACATGGAGGACCAACTGCTTCCCATTTTCCATATGAGCACCCTGTTTGATACACGAGTCCATAACACAATCCAAACAGAGTCACCATTACCACATGAATTCAACGGTCTTAGCTCTAGGGTTGGCAATGGGTCGGGTTGGGTACGGATAATGGGTATCCGATCCCCGCCCGCGAAGATATTCGGATATACCGGAACCCGCCCGAAGTAGTAGCATGGATACTAAATCCTACACCATGCCCGTACCCGAGCGGGTATCGGGTATACCCGAAGGGCCCACGGATATCCGCCAAGATCCCAAATCTTCCTTCTTTGCTCATAAAACCATGAGCAAATCATAAGAAAATAAAACAAAATATGAAATATTCAATATGAACTAAAATAACAATAACATTCCATTTGGAAATTCCAGCATCTCTTGAGATTTACCAAATCAAAAAGCTACATGAAACCAAGTTCAAAGTGCACAATTTGAAAAATCCCAGCATACAACCAGATTTCCAGCAAAAGAAATTCAGAAGCAAAATGCTAGCACACTCCAGCAACTTCCAGCAAGCTCGAGCAACTTCCAGCAAGCTCCAGCATCAAAATTCCAGCAAACAAGAAAATTTACAGCAGCAAAAGTCCAGCAGCAACCCTCCAATAAATCCCAGCAAACTGATTCCAGCAAATTCCAGAAAATTCCAGATACAATATACCCAGCAAACAAGCAGATTTCCAGCAAAAAAAACTTCAGCAACAAAATTCCAGAAACTCCAGACAGATTCCAGCATACTCCAAAAAATTCCAGCAACAATGTACCCAGCAAACAAGCAGATTTCCAGCAAAAAAACTACAGCAACAAAATTCCAGAAACATTCCAGCAAACTCCAGCAGCAAACTTCCAGCATACTCCAACTCCAGAAATCATCATTCATTAGTCTTCTATCAATTGATAGGTCGAATTATGATTCACCAAAGATTGATCTTCATAGATAAATAAAAAAGAAGATACATGAGCATTTTCAATTGCAATATATATTATACTATTAAAACTACGACATATTACTTACCTTCTGTGTCATCTTCATTCTCTTCATTATTGAGCAATTCACAAATCTCCTCCAAAGTTCCATGATCAGCTGCTAATTCATACAAGTGAGCAAAAAGAAGTTATATAAAGATGACTTATAAGTTATAAATAAGTAAAAGTTAATTGAATAAAATATATACCTATTGAAATCGAATTTTGAAGCCAACTTTTAGTACACATCAAAATCTCCATAGTGTTGAAGTTAAGTTTGCAACGAGTTGGATCCAACAATCGACCACCAATGCTAAACGCCGATTCAGATGCAACAGATGTAACAGGGACAGCAAGCATATCCCTTGCAATATCTTGCAAAATGGGATACTTAGCCCCATTCAACTTCCACCACAACAAGACGTCAAAATCGGCAGTCCAAGGTAACACTTCCTCACTCAAAAACCTGTCCAAATCAGTTTGAGCAGGTGTTCCTCTTGACTTTTTCTTTTGCTGTACAAACAGCTGAAAGTCGAGATCCACGGAAGAAGAACCACCAAGTGATTGAGCACTCGAACTACCAGAAGCAACCCCGACATTCTTATTCAATTTAGACTTATATTCTATGATTAAATCACTCAAAACAGCCCTGATTTTGACCACATCCAAGATAGACTGACCCACTTCAAACTTTCGAGCATAATATTCTACAATATGAGGCTTATATCTCGGGTCCAACACAACAGCCACGGCTAGTATTTCATGAATATCATCCCAGTATTTCTTGAACTTATCCCACATCAATTCAGCCATCATAGAAATCATAGCATTATCATCAACAAGCCACTCACAAAGCTTTAACTTCAAATCACAAATCTTTGTAAAGAACAGATTGGCAGTAGGATACTTGGTACCAGAGAACAAATCAGATATCTCACTGAAAATTTGCAACTTGTCACAAACAATCGATGCAAATGCCCAATGATCACTTGTAGGCAAACAAGTATAGTGAGAGTTACGTTGTTTCAGTCTAATAAACACTTTTTCATACGGTATTGCAGCAGCCAGCATATCATATGTTGAATTCCAGCGAGTCGGACAATCTAAAATCAACTTTTTATCACAAGAAAACTCCAAATGCTTTGCTGCCCCCTCAAATAACTCTATCCTCCTAGGAGTAGCAGTCCAATAAGCAACACTTTCACGGATTGTTTCAATGCCATCTCGAAGCACATCCAACCCATCTTTAACTATCAAGTTTAAAATATGTGCAGAACATCTCATATGCAGTAAAACACCCCCCTTAAGCAAACAAGACATCACCAATTTATTCTTAACCTTCTCAATCATAGAATCATTGGTGCTACAGTTATCCAAGGTTATAGTTGATACCTTAGAATCAATATTCCAGTCCATCATACTGTCAAACAAAGCTGTAGCTAGCCTATTACTTGTATGCGGAGTTGGAACATAAGCAAACCTACAAAACAGAAAAGACAGCAGTTGGAAAATGGTAAGTTAGTGACTCATTCTCACAAAATAAACAAGAAAGCATTGAAATTACGTATTACATATCATACCTAAGCAAGTGACTTCGAAGAATCCAAGAATTGTCCACATAATGAGTCGTAACAGCCATGTAACCCTTTTTCTGGTTGGTTGCTGTCCACATATCAGTGGTAATGGCAACCCTCCCTTTGTTACCACCAATCAGTTTCATTATCCTACTCTTTTCACTCTCATACATCTTAAAAATGTCACTTTTAAGAGTATTCCTTGTAGGAACACTAAACAAGGGCTGGAGGCCAGACAAGAACCTCCTAAAATATAAGTGTTCCACCATAGACAGAGAATATCCATGCATAATAACGGCTACAGCAAGATCTTGCCTCGAAACAGCAGCATTAAACTGAGTAGCAACAATTTCCCTCTTTCCCTTAGTGACAAAGTTAGCACCGAGTACCTTTTGCTTCCCATCATGAATCTTCCTTTGCATACAAGACTTCAAATGATTTCTCAAGTGCGAAGTTCCATTATTAGATTCACCGGCAAGCAACTTCTTGCAATGGTTGCATTTAGCCTTGATGAGTTCTCCCTTTTTTATCTTTATAAAATGATTCCACACATCACTCTTGAGGTTTCCCAAATCCAGAACCTCTTCATCATTACCAGCAAGTGTGGGTTCTGGATTTTGTGCTTCTGGATTAGTTACAGCAGCCTGTTGGTTTTGTGGTTGTGGATTAGTAACAGCAGCAGCCTGTTGGTTTTGTGGTTGTGGATTAGCAACAGCAGCAGCCTCTTGAGCCATTTTTTGCCTGCAAGTGAGCACAGAAGTGTAAATATTAAACATAGCAGTAGTAAATTAGCAACAACAGCACCAGCAAATTTACAACAGAAGCAATATGCAACTAAACCAGTTAACTAATTAAACAGCAACAACATACACTATGCAACAGTAGCAGAAAATTTACTACAGAAGCAATATGCAACTAAACCAGTTAACTAATACAACAGCAGCAACATACACTATGCAACAGCAGCAACATACACTATGCAATAGCAGCAAAAAATTACCTATTGAAGAATATTCGGCCCTGTCGCCCTGATTGATGTCGAGAAGAACTGTTGCACTATGCAACACTGCTCCACCATACACAGCTCCACCGTACGCTGCTCCACCCTGCAAGAATCCTGAAAACACAGCCAGAAGAAGATTGAACTTAGGGAGGCTCTCGACATTTTTAAGAAATCAAAACTGAACTTGAACAGAGGGTCATTGCTTCGATATCACAATATCACAATATCCACCATATCACAATATCCACAACAATTTCGTTTTCAAGATTTCAACAGAGGGTCATTGCTTCGTCAATGAACCCAAAAATTAAATTCAAGAAATCAAAATTGAACCCAGAAATTTAAATTGAACCAAGGAAGAAATTGACTGCTATGGAGGTAGCAGGAAGAGGAAAAAATTGAGAATCTGACCTCTGTAAGTGGTCGGCTGCAGTAGTTGCCAAAGTGACGAGATAGAAGAAGAAGAGCAGGAGCTTCTTGTGAGTTGTGAAGAACATTTAACGAAAGAGAAATAGTCGAAGGACGCAGAGGATTGGGATGCATTGAATCGTTTGCTAGGCTGATTGGCTCTGAGAAGACAGAAGACGAGGAGTCGAGTCTCGGCTCTCGAGAGGATTGAGCTTTGATGGGAAGAAATTGGGAATTGGGAACGATGCTGCGCTGCACGCTAACTCGGGGAAAGTTTGATGAGTGATGACTGATGAGAGATTTGAGATAGGGTCTCGGGGAGATAAGGGGTCTCGGGGAGACAAAGAGATTTGGGAACGATGCTGCGCTGGACGCTGGGGTCTCGGGGAGACGAGGGGTCAGTTAGGGGAGATGGGTCTGGGACGGGGGTTAGGAATCATAGGGTTTTCTATTCCGGGCGGGTATGGGTCGGATATCACAATATCCACACCCGGCCCATGCCCAAGCATTTACATTTCGGGTTTTACCCGACCCGTGCCCAGTCAAAGCGGGTTTTGCCCGCGTTGACCGGCTCGGGTTCGGGTGGATACCCGATCCGTCGGTTTTCTTTGCCAACCCTACTTAGCTCCACTAATTCACAAAATCAACCTGCACAGCAGAGAGCTAGATAGGAAAAATCTTATACTTCAACATCCTCCATAGTGCTACACTACCTCCCCAGGTTGCACATTACTATAGAGTCTATCAATTCAAAGCATACTGAGCAGGCAATTTGCATGGAAACACGTACTTGGAGCCCTCAAATCAAAACTTGGACAGTGGACTAGGCTCCAAGCACACAAACAGCCAAACATTCACCCGCATACATAATCGAACACCCCCCACACTTAAGCACGACATTGTCCTCAATGGAGGAAAGATAAGGAGGGTAGAACGAAGTTACCAGATCAAGGGTGAATGATGATGTACGGGTCAGGCGGTGCATTCCAGGAAGAGAGAGTAATCAGAACACAAACACCACACAAAATCTCACAAAGGTTGAGTTATTGACTCTAAAATCAAATAACAAAACTGACTCAACCGAGGATAAATAGAGAAAGAAATGCAAACCGACTGGTTGGGTTGCATCCCAACAAGCACTTCTTTCACGTCGTGAGCCGGACGATCGCTCCTAAGTTTCGGTCCATGCTAGAACCTCCTTGTAGTTGAGGTTCTCATCTATGAGGTGGAGTCTCAAGTCACAAGCAGGTGGTGTGGCAGGTGATGAAGGCTCGTGCACTTGATGCAAATGAAGTCTCCACCCTCGAGACCTCTTCTTCTCTTCTCTCGTCTCATTGCCCCAAACCAGATAAGACAACATCGATTGGCCACCATCGCGTCCACCAAGAGGGACCGATGTCGATGTGGCCTTGGTCTGGCAAAGAGACACTGCAAATGGGTCCTTGCCAAGCAGCTCCTCGAAGTTTAGTGGAGATATCACATGTAACTCATGGCCGGTGCAGGCCTCTTCCACCTTAACTCCGTCCTCAGCCTGGACGCCAATTTCTTCTTCAACCTCCTTTTCTTCTTCATGTGGTATCACCCCTAGGAAATGATCAAGAACTCCTCATGCTTCACTTTCGTCATCCTCCACAACTTCTTTCTGCACCCTTTCTTGCTCTTCTTTTTCTAGCACGGATTGGAGAGCAAGTTGCCAAGCAATTTCTTTCATGAGATCTTCTTGCATCTCCTCACTCATGCCCGCCTCTTCAAAGCTCGGTGTGGGATGTGGGAAGGTGTGGTCGGCTATGATAGGAAATTCCTGATCATGATCATCACGAGAGCTTTCCGTGACAACTTCAGTGTGCTCCACAATGTCCTTGTAGCCTTCTTCTTCCTCCTCCTCTTCTAGTATGGTAACATAAGGGTGATCTGGAGCAGGTAGTGCACAAGATCGCTCAAGATCATCGACGCTCTTCTTAAGGCTCAGGAGGATCTCCTCTGTTTCACGATAGGCCTAGACACAATGATCCATCCTGGAGCATGATCTCTCACAGTCTCGAGCAAACTGCTCCATGAGAAGCCTCAATTCATAGTTTGGATCTGGCTGTGGAGTGTAGCATGGCTCTGCAGAATGGCCCGTGAAGGCCGCCATGGGTAACTCCAGCTCCAATGGCCCCTCTGGTTGTGGGAGAAATTCTTCTCGATAAGGAGGTTGTTCTTGATATGCCCAGGGGTCTGATTGTTCTCCGTAGAAAGGGGGTTGGTACTGGAACCCGACTCCATAGTCTTCTCCTCCTTGGTTACTCCAGGGAGTCTCGGGGTAATACCACTCGGATGGTGGTGGATACCCCCAATGATTGGAGAAGCCATGAGGGTCCATGATTCAGATCTGCACCAACAAAAACAAAAAACACCCAAGTGAAAAGCAAGGGCGGAAAACAAAAGAAAAACGCTAAAGTAACAAACTTCTGCCTTTCCTAATAATCTAGAAAGTCCCCGGCAACGGCGCCAAAAACTTGACACGCTAAAACACAACACCTAACAATGGCCAAGTGTAACCAATGAAAGGGACTGCAGTATAGTGGCACAAGTAATAAATATCGAATTCACGGGTCTCTAGAGTTACTATTACTCAGCTTCAGTTCATTATCTAGCAAACTAGATTAAGGATTGATTTATAAACTACTCTACTGACTACTCTACTAATTACAAGTTGGGAACTCACTTAGGTATGATTCCCCCTAGCTCCTCAATTAGGTCCAAGTTGCAATTACCTTTGGTTGATCTACTGTTGATTAAACTGCGGAAGATCCTAAATTAGCTTGGAATCTCTTAAGCTGACCAAGCCCTCTCAGACAGAATACCCGGCAGGCGACTAGCCTTCACCGGGATAGACTGCTAAGGCGATTCACACATATCTCCACTACTGGAATGAATTCCAGTACAAAGCAGTGAATTGGTTGACTCTCGCACAACCAATTCACCACTATCAATCAAGGAAGCTCTCTTAACCTAATCAGATTCTATCTATCATAGGTTAAAGCAGAAATCAAGAGAATTTGATCAAGATTCAATTGACTCAATAAATCATGCCTCAATCGGTCATAATCAAATAATATAGCATCCAAAACTTCATAAAAGAAAGATCCTAACACATGAAACTAGGGTTCCTCAAAACCTAAGTGAAAGGGAAGTTACTCCATAGAGAAGAGAGAGACTGCAGAAATCTGATCTAGATCTTCAATCTCTATCTCCAAGCTTGATTCCCGAGCTCCAATGGCGAAGAAATCCTCCAAAATAGCTCCAAGAATGTTCCCAAGTCGCTCTCTCTCTCTAGGGTTCGTCCCTTGGGTGTTTGGGAACCAAAAACCCAGCTCTCCCCTTTCCTTTTGCTGAAAATCGGGTTTTAAACAGGAATTTCCGATCACGCGGCCAGGCCACACGGCCGTGTGGCTATCCCAGCTGCCCGTGTGAAGGCTCGGTGATTTCCACACGGCCACGACCCACACGGCCGTGTGGAGTTCCATGATGCCCGTGTGGCTTGCTCAGCCTCTGTTTAATGCTTCGTTTCTCCCTCGTCCGGACTCCGAATCAGTCGCCGTTTGATTCCAGACGCTCGTAGTCTCGTCCTCTTTCTTTTCATGACAATCTTGCATGATTATTTTCCCATAAAGTGAGGTAGAAATCCATTCTTCTTCAGGTCATGCCCGAGTTTCTTCTCCCGAATCGTCAATTGATCTCTGATTGACTTGAAACTTGCGCCTATGCTTCAATTTATGTGCTAGGACCTGAAATATGACAAAGGAACATAACCTAGCGTAAAATAGGCAAAAGACACGATGATTCAAGCTCAAACAATCAAGAAACAAAGGGGAAAACATGTGCAAATACCGAGTCATCACAAACTAAGGACCAGAGTTTTGGACACTTGAGTTCTTCGGAATGCGTGTGTAAAAGGGCTGCAACTATTTGATCAGTGTTGAAAACTTTAAGTGAAGATGGAAGTCCTTATCCTATTCGGATTAGGATTATGTGAAGACTGCCACTATCAGCTTGAAGCGACGTCATTTGGTTTATAAGAAGACTGCTGCCTTGTGCGGTGTCATTTTATTTACGTGTCTCTTTGGTTTATAAGAAGACCGCTGGTTTATAAGAAGACTACTGCCTTCTACGGTGTCGTTTTATTTAGTTCGGATGGATTTGATTTAATTCGATATGGAGGCTGCTCCCTATAAATAAATCATGTGCAACATTTCAGTTGAATAATTTTAAGCACCCGTTTTTTATTGAATTATTATATCGTATTTTTTACTTGTTTATAAATTTATTTAATATTGACTA